CTGTGTTCAGACAACCTGATAACCTGCACTCAATGGCTGAATCAGGGTTGTCATTGAAATGCGGGTCACTGGTTTTGTCCAATCCCAGCAGAGATAGCAAAGCGTGGTGAACTTTGCACCCAACGAAAAACCAGGGGGGTTTTTTTAATAGATTGTTAGCATACTGGACATACTGGACTTAGACATTTATTGTTATAGTTATTGTAAAACATCTTGAGATGTCCTTGGAATATTAGATGGTATATAAAAACTTTAAATAAACAAACAAACAAACAAACCTACTTTTCAAAACCAGTCCATCTTTCAACAGCACCCACACGCAACCCCCAATCAAGCCTTGGCTCCTGGTTATTGTGTTGTCTGAACCCTGTCCTTGGGTGCTTCCAGATCAAGGACTCCTAGACCTGCCTTTCCAAAACGTAGATGCATTTGTTCCGTGCTTTCCTCCTTAAAGAACTTTCCATGAAAACACAGAGGGATTACAAATGGAATATCTGGACACACACACACACACCCCGAAAATTCTGTGGATGAAGCAGGCTGCTAGCACAATAAAAAAAAAACTGGTGTGGGAACATCCTTTCTTAGTCATCCTATCCCAATGTATTTAAGGATATTTATTTAAATAGATGAAGTCTGGGATTGTCACCAATTGACGATGACTGATACTGTGTGGAAGCATTTGCTAATCTGAGTGGGGTTTTAATATAGATGATGTTCTATGTATTTACTATTTAATCTATGTATTTATTGAGCAGAGCTGGTCTTTGACCAAAATAAAGTGTATCTATCTATTTAAATAGATGCCAATTTATTTTAAGTGGCTCCTGCATTGTTTAACAACAGGTTGCTCTATGCTGCAAATGGTTACAACTCCTATCATCCCCAGACAGCATGGTCAGTGAGGAAAAGGCTCTTCGAGTTTGCAAGTTTCCCCGATCGGGAAGAGAAGTTTCGCCAAGGCGTGCAGAGCCCCCGCTCCGGTCCCAGCAGCGAGGTCCCATCTGCCCCTCTCTTTCGCTCCTTAAGACCCCTTGTTGCAAACGCATTTAGAAGATCGTGCCGCACATGCACAGCCAAGGAGCAGAAAGGCTCGAACCTCCCCAGGCGTCTTGTTCATTCATAATCCGAGGCCAGCGGACGTCTATGGAAGGGCAGCTGATTCGTCCACGCGAGAGCCGCGGGTTCGAACCCAGGCTGAGGAAAATGGGAAAAGTGGAATTCGCTCTTCCAGAGAAGCTGTTTCTTGCTTGTTTGTTGTCCGGATAAACAGATCCGGACACTGGAGGAGGCGGATTGTCCCCCCTTCCTGCAGCCATTAAAACAAAAGTGAGGATGCCGCGCAGCCCTGTCAGCTCCACCTCCGCTTTCTCTGGCAAATCCATCTTCAGGCTTGACCAGCGCCGCTTGCTCGTCTGGCGGGAGCCCCCTGGGCGTCCCTGCCCTGGGACCCTCCGATGCCCAGCTCCCGCTCCCGGCTTGCACGCCCAGGACCGTCGGTGGCCGCCAGAAGGACCGAGGGATCCGCGCAAGGTGAGGGCGGAGGGAGTGTGGGGCAGGAGGGGGGGTCTCCGCGGAACCAGGTGAGGGGAGGCCGAAGGTCCCAGGGCTCAACCCAGAACATCCCATTTCCAGGGAAAAGTGCACTTTTCATGACATCTCAAGCACGGAAGGTCCCCCTAGTCTGCAGTCCCTGGGAATGATCGGGTGGGCTGCTCCGGGCCCCCTCCATTCTCTCTGCCCCCTCGTTCAAACAAGTGATTCAAGCACAGGCTACAGTCCCACCCCCGCCCCACGTATTTCTAGGCAGGCTGCAGCCATGCGGTTGCCTTCTTTTTAGAGCAGGCACGGATGAGGTGGGCATTACAAACGGGGCTGGACTGCAATCTGCACCATTCCACACCACTGGCCAGGCTGGCTGAGGCTGATGGGACCTGCAGTCCAACCGCGTCTGGAGAGTCGCATGGTTCCCACTCCTGTTCCTTTAGAGAAACACAGACCCTGGCAGCGGAGTTTTTCCGGATGAATGCAGGAGTCTTTTGAGGGTGGGGGAAATACAGCAACTTGTGAACAAGTATGTCTTTCCGGGGGGGGGAGCTGTGCTGTGAACATAAATGCAAAACGGAAGGTGAACTTGATTCGTAGTTTTTTGGCAGTATAAACAATGGAAAAGTCCCGTTGAATAGTAGGTCCCATTCAGATCAGTTGGATTTAGAGGTGTTACAGGGTGGCAGCCTCAAGCTCTTTCGCTCCCACTTGCACAAGTCACTGGCAAAACCTTTTACTCCCCAGGCGGTCCTTTTAGCACCAACCGACTTACTGCAGAATGTGTAATTCATGTGGATTACAGGCTTCAACGTCATTCTCTCCAACCCGTCCGGGTGCTGTACATTTACTGTGGGGTTAGTACTCTCCTAGAATTCAGTCGGCTTTATGTCTGAGTGAACATTCTGGGGATCATGTCACATAACTAGACACGCTTTCTTGGGAGTAAGTCCTGCACCAGAACTGTTCAGCAGAACAGTAAGTAACTGCACCAGAACAGTTCAGCCCTGAGTAATCAGAGATTCATCAAGTCATCCTCATTCACTCGAGAAGTCTGTGCAGAAGTATGTGCCATTGGTTTCAGTGCTGGTGGGATCTGAGTTGGTGATGATTGATGGAAAAGGAGATTTGGAGCTGTATGCGGAACGCTAGATGGGCTGGACTTTTGGTCTGATCCAGCATGTTCTCATGAAAAGGTCAGCCCCACGTGCAGCTGCTGTGAAAAAGTCAAATTCCATTTTAGTCATAATTAGGAAAGGGATCGAACATAAAATCGCCAAGATCATGGTACCCGTATACAAACCTCCGGTGCGAACACACTTGGGATATAGCTTCCCTATAGCCTGAAGTGCCAGATCTTGCCTAATCTTGGCTGCTAAGCAGAGTCAGGCCTCGCTGAAATCTGAGTGGGAGACTTAAATGTTGTGAACCACCTGGAGAGCTTCAATGAGGAGCTGTATAGAAATGTGATATCATTATTATTATTATTATTGCTCCACACCTAAGAAATGATATTGTAAAGTTGGGAAAGTGCAGAAAAGGGCAACTAAAATGATCAAGGAGCTGGAACAACTCCACTCTGAATTGTTTAGAATTGAAAGAATTGTTTAGATTAGGAAAAAAATGGGTAAGGAGAGAAGGATAGAGGTGTACAAAATTATCCATGCTGTGGAGAAAGTGCAGAAGGAGACGTTCTTCTGCTTTCCATATGAGTTAGGTGTAAGATTCAGGAGAGATGAAAGGGCTTCACACAATGCATTGGAAACCATGGAACTCACTGCCACAAGATGCAGTGATGGCTGCCAGTTCAGAGGGCTTCAAAAGCGGATTGGACCAATTCATGGAGGAGAAGAATTCAAGTAAACAAGCGAGCCCTTCAGTGCTTCTCATGCTTGCTGATTTGCAATCCTCACGTACTGCTTAATGTTGCAAAGTATCTAAGCACTTCACACAGAAGCATTTAAATTTGCGGTTGAAAACGCATATGTAATACCACCCTTTTAGCAATGAATGTAGGATCCAAAGAAACACCAAAAAAGAGAAGATAAAAAGAAGCATCGGTGTGATCGTTAGTCATAAACTTGGACATACCTGGTATTTAATGGAGCTTGTTTCCAAGTTAATTGTGGCTGGGATTGAGTGGAACTGGGGAAACAGGTTCTCTGGGCACCTGCGGAATGTTCTTCCCTGTAAATCTTCTATTCAGTGGAAAGCGGAAGAAAGATCTGTATATACTGGTACAGCATATATCTGGGTGATTTTATTGTTTTTATTATTCCCAATTATTTAACGGTGCCAGCAACCAAAAACTCCTCCCAGGCCTTAATTATTCAGCTTGAAATGAAGAAGGGCTCGGATGACCTAACCCGGTGTAGCTTTTGGGTGAGTGCATGGCCTGTGATCTCCATTCATTCCTATTGCTAGGAACCAATTTTGGGGCTCAAAATTATTTCCGTCCGACCTGCCTGGATTTGGTCCCAGGCTCCGCTTCGTGGAGCTGGAAAAACGGGGTGGATCCCGCAAGCGAGCAGAGGGGGCCTGCGCTGCCTCCTTGGGGAAATTCAAGACGCGGATGCAAAGCAGAGAATGGTCGGGGCGCCCTGTAAGCACTGTCCGCTTCCATTTATCTCTTTCCTGATTCATCTGATTTGAATCGTACCCCACCTTTTCACCAGGGAAATGGGCCTACAGGCAGATAAGGGCGTAGATCGGGCTGGCTCATGACCAGGGAGTATTAATTCGTTCGCTCGTTTCTCCCTTGGGCATAATCTAAAATTCGACGCAATCGCGACGGATCCCTAGGAAGCGGTGGGCACGACAATCGAAAGACCCCGGGAAAAATTCTTCCCCATCCCACCCTCGGGGCCTAGAAAAATGTTCCTTAGCCAGCGTGGCTCCGTATCCTGATTTCTCCCCAGCCGCGGGGGGGGCTTACAAAATTCTCCTCCTCTTCATCAAAGTTTGCGTGGCGCGGGAAGGGGGGGGGGCGGGACGGGAGCTCCTGGCCTTCAGAAATCCGTGGCACAGATTTGGACGCGGGGCCGGTGGATGCTTGTTTCTCCCAACTTAAAAGCGAGCGTAAGGCTGGCTGTGAAAGCGGCTCACAAGCGGGAGCGCTTCCCATCGAGCTCAACGGGGCAAAAGCTTCTTACAAGCCGCCTCTTCGCGCTGATCGAGGAGCAAATTCCACGGGGGTTCAACGTGAGTTAAGCCCAAGTAACGATGCATAGGATCAAAATCAAAACCTTTTCCCCCACCCCCAACACACACACACAGAGGGAGGGTTCTAATTTAGACTGTAAGCACCTCAGGGCAGGGAGCTGTCGTCAAGCGAGGATGCAGTGGATGAAGGTTATATATTAGCTTGAGGCCGGTGCTAGTTTTGTCCTACAGCAAAGAAAAGCCCAGGAGGCAATCCATGCGTTTGGTCTCTGGCAAGGGTTCCTTTATAATCTCTTTTCCCCCATTCCTAAAACGGAGACAGAGAAACTCCTGGAAAGGCTTTAGGCTTAAATCCTATAGTTTGAATACAACACGGTTTGCGTCTGTGTAGACATGTATAAGTTTGTGTTGGACTACAACTTCTATCATCCTCAGCGGGCTCAACAGCCATGCAATGTAGGGATAGTAAGATACTGTAGTCTGACATTTCTGAAGGGTGCGAGCTTGGGGAGAGCAGATCATTTGCTTCTCGATTTTTAATCAGTCTTTGAAATAATAATAATAACGACGTTTTCAACAGGTTCTTCATCTTTATGATTTCCCCTGCCTCTTTATAGTGCTTTTTCAGTAGCAGGGGCGCTGACCTAATGCACCCCACCCCACTCTGAGGGTCTCCTGTTCAGTCTGAGCTTAGCTGCAAAGCTCGCAGTTGCTGGGGTCATTTTCCCAGTGACTGTACCTTGCTCCCACTGCAGGGCAAATTTGTTTGGCATGTCTTAAGTTTGAATTGCCAGTTAAGACCCATTCCGCTTGCTTGCTTGCTTGCTTGCTTGCTTGCTTGCTTGCATAAAGATCTGCTCTCAACGGACGTGAGAACTGCTGGAGCTGATTTGTTGATCTGAATAGGCACCGCTTGGCTGCGCTTTTGAGACCGTGCATTTGCGGGGGTGCTAAGATGACTGCCTGCCCATCGAAAGGCATTCCCATCCACTGCTTGGAGCCAATCTGAGCACAGAAGGCGCGTTTTGCACCCCCCTTGATGCGCTGGCTGCTCCTGAACACTGCCTTTTCTCTCTGCAGACAACTCGCTGCCCCCTGGATCCCTGGAAGGCGAGGAAATGGGCCAGCATTGCTGCACCCGGCTCAGGTGGAGCAGGAAGCCTCAGGTCTTGTTTTCCCAGATGCTGGAACGGTGCTTCAGGCACCAGAGGTACCTGTCCACTCAAGAAAGGGAGCATCTGGCCAGCTTCCTGAATCTCACCTCCACCCAAGTCAAAATCTGGTTTCAAAACAGGAGGTGCAAAAGCAAGAGGCAGCATCAAGAGAAGGGCTCATGGGGGCTCTCCCCCACACATCCTCGCCCTTCCCTCCTGCCCCGCCGGGTGGTGGTCCCTGTCCTGGTCAGGAATGGCAGAGCATGCTTCAGAGGGGCTCACGCTCCAGGCAGCCAAGCCATCACCCCACCTGCCACCCACTTCGCGCCCTTCTGCCACAACCCATGGAAGGGCAGCTACAGCTGGCATCATGCTGGGCTGTCCTCTGTCGAGTCCGGAGGGCCCGGCCCAGCCAGCCAAGCTGCAGGAGGTCCATGGGGCCACCTCCAAGCAGCACCTCTGCAGCCAGGGAGCAGAGCTCTCTTGCCAATGCACTCCTGGGGCTGACCATTCCTACGTTGCTGTTGGCCTTGGGGTCTGCAGTGTGAGTCCTGTTGAGAGTCCCCCCAGCGAAATAAATGGTTCTGCTCTAAATCAGACAATTACTAGATAAAATCCCATGTGCCACATCAGGTATTCTTTACCCATGCAGCATAATCTGACAATGAGCTTCTCCAATGGGCAAAATTAGAGGAGCTGCTTTTGGAAGGCATCCGAGCATTAATAGATCCTGCATTCATCTTCCATAGCAGCAGGGAAAGGGTGTTTGCGAGCGCTCAGCCTTGCCTCTAAAGTCACTTAAAATCATGCAAATTTTAGCACATACTTCTGTGCTGGCCCAACTGTTCATGCAACTCATCTAATAAAATACACCACCTGGCTCTTGGAATGATGAGTCTGTATATTTTGATAATTACAAGTGAGATTTGGGGATTGGGAGAAGGTAGAATCTATTCTGATAGATTCCTGAGTGCTTGGCCACAGTTCAGCAAGGGTTTCTGAAAAAGCACGGCACAAAGGCCTCTCAAAATTGTCCATTCTGTTTCTGGGCAGAGGAATTAGAAATTAGGCTGTGGGGGGGGGGGGGGTGAAAGGAACACTCTTCTGGTAGGGTGAAGGGGAAATGGGAGTTGATTTTTATGAGAAAGGACTTCCAAGCTTGGCTCTGGTGTTGATCATAAGCACTGAAGTGTCTTGTCCTTGTTCTTATTGGTTTAGGGTGTGATCCAGGGTATGTTGAAACAGAAAAAAAATCCTACAACTCCCCAGCTGTTTTTCCAAAAAGGAACCAAGGTGGCTTACATAATCTTCCTTTCCACTTTATCATCACAACAACCCTGTGAGGTAGGTTAGGCTAAGAGTCAGTGACTGTCCCACTGAGTTTCATGCTCAAGAGGTGACCAGAAGCCAGATCTCCCAAAACCCAGTCCAATGCTCTCACCACTACATCACACTGCTTTCAGGGACAAAGGCCATTGCCATGAAGAGGAGCTGTGTACATCTGTTCGGTTTATGCAGCATTTACTGCACAAATCATCTGTTAGAGCCTCTTTAAAGCCGTCTCTTAAGGAGATCTCTGCCAGCCATGCTGTGCATAAAAAAGGACGGTTCTCCAGCAGCTGCCATATAAAAACGGTTGCAGCACAGAAAAATGTTATCAGTCGCCAGTGCTGGGCAACTCATTTTACCTGGAGTGTTGATGAGCCCTCTGGGGATGGGGACAGAAAGTACCAATTTCCTTTCTTCAAAAAAGAATGAAAATATATAAGTGAGGCCCAGATCCTAGCACTGCGTCATGTTGCACCACCACAGGCAACAACCTTGAGGCCTGTTTCTCCCAACCTCAGAGAAATCCAGAGATATCTGACTGATCAATGGCAATCCAGACAAGATGGCCGGAAGCCAAAGGTGAGTATAAGGACCAAGCTTTAGCTTTCATGCCAAAGGGCCCCGAGAGCAGCGACCATCATATTCAGAGCCAACAGAAATACAATAAAGATGTAATAAAAGTGCAATAGATCAATCATCAACTGTGCCCCCGTGTGGCCAGAGATGCCACCCTCACTTTTCGAGTGGTTACTGTACAATTCTGGGCCGTATCAAAGCAATACCTGTGCAGATTTGATTTCTATTGTCTGCTAGATGATTTTGGAAATCCAAATCTGGAAAGGTGATGGAATCTCTCATGCGAACCACTGGTATGGGAAAACGTGGAATTTGGCTTTGTTGGAGGAACTGGCCGAGCAAGTTAGGCATCTAAAAGACCGTCTAGATTTTGGCACATTTGAGCACGCTTGGCCACCATTTATCAACTTTGTTGACGAAGAAGGAGATGAACTCCACTCTGCCCCAGCGACACGCAGTCAGGCTTCCCTTCCGCCCGGAGATCTGGACAGCCAGGTTCTCCAAGAGCTTTTTCACTCTGAGATTTCTCCTCTCTCCACACTCCCGTTATAATTGGTAGCAATGACATGTGTACTTATGAACTTATCTACTTTATGTTTGATTATTAATTATTGGTAAACTATCTGGTTGTTGTTTTAATAATAAATAAGTTTTAAAAGCAATACCTGCGCAGTGGGTATTGAAGTATTTCTATGCTGGCTTTCATAAAACATTTCAAGATAAGGGACAAAGCAAAGCAAAGCAACAGGTAAACACATCTAAAATGTCACAGTCATAAAACCAAATATCAAAATGATAATAGAGAAGGCCAGTTTCTTGGCTGCAGCTAAATGGGCCTCTACAAATAGCTACACCACCAGGACTCTTCCCCGGATGACCAAAGTGGTCTGGCAGGTGGACCAGGAGCTGGAACACGCTCTTAGTAACTTGTTGAAAGCATGGAGTATATTTACACACAGTTTTACAGACAGAATGTGGAAAGAGTGGCAATAATTCAGTTCTGCCTCTCTTGGAGCAGCGGTGATAAGCCTCCTATCAGCCTTAGATAGGATGAAGGTAACACATCCCTGCCACTGTATTTCTGAAAAAAATAAATGCCAGCCGTTACCCAAATCTGTCTCCATCCCAAGGTTTTACACACACACACACACACACACACACACACACACTATGCTGGCAATCGCTTTGGTGCTCCGAGTCCAGCAAGTTGGTCAAAGCCCAGTCGGGTGGCTTGCACATTATTTTGTGATGATTCGGTGCCCAAGTGAAGGAACTCCGCTGCATCACTTGCCTGCTGATTTACTGCATCTTGACCCCACTTTTCAAATGCCCGTCATCTCCCAAAGTGGTTCACCTGAATTTAAAAAAAGCAGAGAGGGAAAGGACTCGCCCTCTGGCCTACAAACCAAGGTCTGTTGGGTGGGATTGGCCCAGTAGACCTTCCCTGGCGTAGACCGAGGCTCCCACTGCTCGGGCAGATGGCTGGGGCCAGAGAGCCTGCTCTCCCGTACTCCTTGGCCACTGTCACTCAAGCGGAGTCTTCCTTCTGGCGCAGAGCGGGGAAAGCCCTCCCTGCAGCTGTTCCTTCTCTGGCCAGTGGGGGGGGGGGCCAGTTGGCCACCCACTCGGTCGCTTCATTTCTGAGAAACAAGCAGTGCAGTATCAGAGCGGCCCTCAGTCTCCTGGCTGATGGAAGAAGCCAACAGGGCTCCCCTTCTGCTCTGCCCTCCAAGGGCAACTGCCTGTTGGAGCCAGGCATCCTTTCTGTCCGGGAAAGCATATTCACTGCTTTTGCATGGCGGAGTCAAAGGATGAGGAAGGTTTGACATGCTCCATCCCAAACACAGCAGTCCTGAACTAAACCAGAGCTATGCCTGCTTCTGCAGAGGTAACTCTATGACTGGGTGAATGCTTCATTTGGCCCCGAGCTCTGTACAACTGCTTACTCGCTCGCTTTCTCTGGCCAGCGAATGGGTCCAGCTGGTCTCCCCATTGCCTTGATGTCATTCCTGGGAAAGTCAGTCTGCAGCCTCTCAGGCCCTCTCACAGCTGAGGACAGAAGGATCTGGGTGTTTTTCCCACAGAAAAATGTCTTACAGGGCCCCGGCTTTGCTTTCCATAAATCTAGCCAGAGCGGCTTCCAAAGACTGGCTCGCAATAAACCCAAGAGGAGCTGCTGATCTCAGCAGGCAGCCATAGGATGGATCCATCCAGCAAGGAAGCCAGAAACGTTAGTCTCCTTGTTTCACTCTGCAAAAGCCGGAGGGCAGGCAACCCACGGCAATCACCGCCGGAGGTCTCAAGTTCCACATGTCACCCTCCCGAACTGGCCCTCCCTTGTCAGGGTGTGAGAAGGTCATTTCCCCCTGGCCCTAAAGCAAACATGTCCAATGTGCATTACAGGTGAAGGGGCTCAGCTAAGCTGTTGAGCAGATTGGGAAGGGAAGGGGAGGTTGCAGGGGCCACCCAGCCTGCCCGGCATCTAATGGTTTGCACAGCCACTCACAGATCTTAATTTGCTCTCCAGAAGGCTGTGGGTGCAGAGCATTCCTTGCAGGGCATGGTGACTGGAGGCACCTGCAAATATACTGTTGGTTTCCTATTGCTCCATAAATCTTCCCTTTGCGTGAAGGATCTTGGGGTTAAGCTTTTGTTGCTGAAGCTTCTTAAAGATGTAGCTCTGGGTGCCAAAACCGCCGACTGGACATCCTGACACAGCCTTCACCAAATCAGTGCCCTCCAGGTGCGTCAAACTACAGTTCCCAGAATCCTCCAGCCAATTCTTCTGGGAGTTGTAGGACAAAACATATGGACAGCAGCAGGTTTGGGAAGGGTGTGTTAGGAAGTGGTCCATGTCAGCTAAAAGCAGCTCGTTAACTGCTCTCTTAGTACACAATCTTGAACCGAAGTGTCTCAAACCAAGTTCTGATTAGGGTGGCTTCTTAGGAATCACCAAAAAGCAAACGAAGCGGAAATGCTTCATCCAATAAGTGGGTCCAAAAGCTGGATATTTGCATAATATTTTGTAGGCTAATTCATACACATAGATGCAAATGTAGAAATAATATGCAGAAGACTGCGAGCTCATGTAAGCTTGATTGCTCAGAAACGCTTTGTCAGAGTCACTCACACAAACCATTGAAACTGGAAGGTGCATCCTTCAGAATGGGCATTTTGATGCACTCCAAAGATGCTGAAGCTGGATTAAGTGATTTGGAAATGGCATCCCCTCTTCTGAGGAACATGCAGCAAGCATCTGTCAGCCTCTTTTCCTTCACGTTCACAAAAACCTTGTAGATGACCATCAGCTGGAAATGAAGGTGGCCATCAGTCCTCTTTTGCAAGAGACCATCCTCTGCTTCAAGGATGGACATCCCCCTTCTTGAAGGCATCCTTTCCTTGAAAGGCGATCCCAGCCAAGTCCAGAGGATAGTTCTTTATTTGAAGGCATTCTTCAAATAGAAGACATCCTGCCGAGCCATGCATCAAGCTAGCATGTCAAGTCACCTTTGCTAAGCTGGAAATGGTGCTTCACGGGGATCATTCTCGCGTCAGTGTGTGCACTTAGCTGGGGAAAAGGCGCAGGCCACTTCATGGGGCTTACTTTCAAGCACACCATCCTTGCACTGTGCGGCAAAAACCATTTTCACATTTCTTGCTTGTAGAGCAGCACCGCATATATCTGATGTACCTTTGAAGGTCCTTGTAGGGATGAGATGGAGAGCTCGGAACACTTTCAGCTGCTATATAAATGCTAAGTTGTTATTGATTGCTGCTGCTACTACTTGGATGAACATTCAATTTTAAAGCAGGTTTCATCTCTTTTATGTGTCACATGAAACAGCACTCTGAACAAAATTCTTTAATGTGAAAAATACTTCTGATCGGGTTGAGAGTTCATGGCCAGTGGCTCAAAGTTAACCTGGTAAGTACATGGCTCGCCAGAGCTGCACCCCATCAGGGCTGGGCTAACTGTGCACACTGAAATCCTTTACTCAGCAGTAATTCCCAGTTACTCCCCAGCATGCAGAAGGTAGTCTCCAATGCTAGACGACTGTAAAGAGCTAGAGTGGTGTGATGGTTCTGGGACTGAGGAGTGTGGGTCTGGAGTGTAAGTCTGGGACTGAGGAGATCCCTACTCAGCCATGAGTCTCACTGGAAGACTTTGGGGCAGCCACAGAAACTCAGCCCAGCCTATCAGGCAGGGTTGGTGTTGGGAGGATCAGAATGAGAGGAGGAAGAGAATTATGCAAGTTTGCTCGAATTCCTTGGAAGGAAATAAAAGTGAGGTATCAATACAATAAATGCTGAAATGATTGAAAGCTGAGTTAGTGCCTTCAATCGGTCTCCTCTCCGTAAGACAAGCTTTGGATGCTACCCACAAGATTGTCGCCTTTAGATTAGTCTAGCGTTCTAATTATTCTATCTCACTGCTCCTCTGTGAGAGGCAACCTTGCCAGTAAAGTTTGCTTCCTCTGGAAAAAGAAAGGGCTTTTTAAAAGCGTTTGAGAATTGTGTAAGGGAAAGAAACAATCAAAAGTTCTCTAGCAAATGGATGCAATCCCTCAAAGGAAAGAACAAAAATGTCATTTGAGCCAAACTGCACTGAATTCTGAAGAGGCTTACTTCCGAGTAGAGAAGGCAAGAGCGGCCCAACTGACACTACTCCGGCTGCAATCAATAACTGAGGGGAAGCCCCATTGAACTCGGTGGGATTTCCGGCTCAGACACGAACAGAAACCCACTTCTTCCATGCCAGCACCCTCGTTGGGCCACAAACCGCAACCTCGGTTGTAGCCCAACGAGCTGGCTGGCTGGAGGCGAGGCGAGGCGAGGCGAGGCGCGGTCCAGCTGGGGCTGATGGGAACCGCAGCGCAGCCAAGAGCCTGCCCGACGTCCCGCACGGTGTCCTGCGTCCAAGTCGAGCGTGCCCGCAAGACCGGCGCCCCTTTCTGCGAGGGAGCTCCGCCGCGCACCGCGGAAGGCGCCGACGGGCGGCCCCCTCCCGCGGCGCGGAGGCCCCGCGAGGCGGACCCCGGCGCCGGAGGCACCAATCCCCAGCGAGGGGGCAGCCGAGGCTCCCTCTCCGCCCCGCCGGCCCGCATAAATGGCCCTCGCGGCCGCCGCGCGGGAGGAGCGCGCCGCCAGAGGCCGACTTCCGCTGGGGCGCCCCCGTCCGGGCACGCGGCGCCCACCGCCCGCCGCGGCTCATGCAGGCAGCCGGGCAGCGCCGCTGCTCCCCCGGCCGGCCGCGGCAGCCGCTCCCGCCCGCGCAGGGCGCTGCCGCCGCCTGCCCCAAGCAGCTGACCTCGTTCCTCATCCAAGACATCCTGCGCCATGGCGGCGGCGGCGGAGCCGGGGAGCGGAGCGCCCGGGGAGCGCCCGAGGAGGCGCACGACCCGCGGCAAGAGGAGGCGACCGCCAGGGAGCGCCTTCCCCCGGCGGCGGCCGCCGGAGCGCCCCGGACGGGTAAGCGGTCGGAGCGTCGCGGTAGCGCCGGGGAGCCGCGTGGTCCCGCAGTTAGCACAGCCTCCGCCGTCCTGCCCGGTGCCGGTCCGATGTTTGCTTAGGACTGCGATCCCAGCAGCGCCGTCCTGCACGGCCCTTGGCCGGCAGTGCTGGGAACCGAAGTCCAAACCTTGGGAGGGCACCGGGTTGGCGAAGGAGGGCGTAGAGAACCGTGCGTAATGCGGGGAGCCCCTTTCGAACCCTCGCGCCTTCTTGAAACTCGGTGGGTGAGTTCGAGGCAGGCCCTGTTGGTCAGCCAAAGCTACCTCGCAGGGTTGCTGCGGGGAAATTAAAATTGCTTGGCAGAACCTACCTGTTGCTCTGGTCCCTGGGAGGAACAGCGAGACCATGGAACGTAAGTGGAGGGCAAACCGCTTGACTGCAGGCCTTCCCGTGGCCAAGAACCCTTGGTGAGTTTGATGTGCTTCGAGGGCTCAGGCTGGGGGGCATCTGGACATACAGTAGAGTGGAGATGGCAGATTTCTCTTGCAGCGATTGTGGGGACCACCTTCCATTACTGGTGAGAAAACAAGATCCATTTTTGCTGGAAAAACTGCCTGCAAGAAGAAAACTAATCTCACATAGGGAAAAATGCTCCACTGTAGTCTTTTGCTGTGCTCGTTTTCTACTTGCAGGGAGCAGCTTTATATATAAACACTATTTAGCAAAAAGTTTTTCCCCTTTTGGAGTCCAAAGAAGACATTTTTGTTCAACCACCTGCCTATAGAAATAGAGCTTTGTGTGTTAGTGGATGAGCAAATGGAAGATGGCTTTTTCGGTGGCAGTTACCTGTGAGAGTTAAGCTGAGCCTCCATGCCTAGAAGCAGCCTATCACTTGATACTCCTGCAAGCTTCCAAAGACATCTGAACATTCATTGCTGAGAATAAATAGTAAGACTAGGTGGACACTAGTCCTCATCAGGTGCCTGTTAAAGATCACTTAGCAAAGATTTAATGATTAATTTAGGTAATCAAAAGGTCCATCTACACATCTATATGAGTGCCTGAAGCATGCTGTAAGCAGTATTGCAAGAATCCTTGCAAGGTAAGCCAGAATTATTTTCCCTGTTGCAGATCTGGAGAAGGAAAAGGACAGTCCAGCGCAGAGCGCATGCTGTGCCAGTCAGTCCCCGCTCCATCCCGTTCCCATTCCCGTGTTTGCAGGGGGGAACACCAGTCCTTGGAGTCACTTGTGAGGGCATTCCCAAGCTCCAGTGCTGCAGTTTTGGAGCAGAGGGGTTGTGGTGGGCCAGCCTTCCCCCGCCTGGTGAACTCCAGAACTTTTGACCTTCCACTCCAAGCAGCCCCAGCCAGAATGAGAATACTGGGAGTTGTACTCCGAAACCATTGGAGGGCGCTAGGTTGGGCAATCTCCCTCAACTCGGCACCTTCCAGGTGCGTTGGGCTACAATTGCCATCACCATCTAGCTGGGGATGATAGGAATTGTGGTCCAGTACATTTGAAGGCTCCCTAGAGTTAAGTGAGATTTGAACTGGAGACCTGAAAGTGTTCTTTCTTAGACTGCATCCAATGTACAGGTACTACAGAGCACAGAGAAGATCTTGCTTTTCAGGAAACATGCCTTAAGGTGCTTTTGTTTGCATTACAGCAGCCCTTTGTTATTTCTTAACCTCTTCTAACCACCCTGATATATTTCTATTATTGCTATTATGATCATGTTATTTTTATATCCCAAGGCTGTTTACATAGTCCCCCTTTCTCCAGTTTCTCCCCACAACAACCCTGGGAGGTAGGTCAGGCTGAGAGGCAGAGACTGTCTCAAAGTTACTGAGTGAGCTTCAGGACTGAGCAGGTACCAGAACCTGGCTCTTCCAAGTCCTGGCCCAGCTCTCTTTTGCTCTCGTTTGCTGGATAAAGTATGAATTTTCTGTCTTAATAGATATTCAGTGGCAGATTGAGGTCCAGGGAGGTTTTGAATTGGAGGTAAAAGGGAGAAATTAGAAGCACTGCTAAGTTGGTGGTTTGGATCCATAAAAACAGGGAAGATTCTCCCTCAATTAAACTCAGACAGCTTATAACATTCGTTTAATCCCCAAGAATCTCATAAAAGTTGCATGGGAAAAGATCTGCAACAAACGTAGATGGTAACATGGGAGTTATAGTCCAACACAATTTACATGGCCCCAGGCTGAGGAAGGCTTTTCCTTCAAGCTGGCCAGACAAAAGTTGGTTTCTTTTGTAAATTTTCCCAGGGATGAAAGCAAGCGGGTGGGGAGGGACACTTGGAAATAGAAGCTGAATTAAACTTAAATTAAATTAAACTCTCTGCAGTGTACACTTGACACACAACAGTCTCAGAATGCTTACTCTTAAGTAAGCTCCATTGTGTGTAATGCAGCTTGCTCCCACGTAAGAGTGCACGGGACTGTAACAAATGCTCATGTGTCAGGATGGAGGAGAAATTTTGACCTTCACCGGCTGTCCCAGAAATATGTAACTAGATTCACTTGTTTGAGCCATCTTGAGACATATTTGCTCTGGTTAATTTTTTTTCTGCCTGTAATGTAGCTGTTTGTTTACATGTTTAACATGTTCATCCTTCAAGGAACTCACTGAAAAGTTGAGCTCATTAGGAATAAACTTGGGCAAATAGAATTATTGTTCTTATTTTATTGGGCATTTGAACCATTGTTTTTTTGTCTATATCCAAACCGGATATTTTGCACAGGACACCACTGTGTAAAATGTTAATTTGCTTTCATTTTAAGCAGATGCATGGTTCACTTTTTAATGCATATAGTATCATCTGCCTTTTTGTACCAGCCTTGCCCCTTTTGAGCTGATGGTGGCATTGACTGATGTAGCTTAATCATTTAATCTTAACAACATCCCTGTGAGGTAGGTTAGCTTGTGCGAGGGTGCCAAAGGTCACCCACAACACAATTGCCAAATGCTACATTGCACTGCCACTAATCACTGTTGGTTTGTGATTGCAAAATTGTGCGTGTGTGCTGTTAATCTCCTGAGCCTCTGAATTTTTTTCCAAGAAAAGATGTTGGGGAAATTATGTCTGCAACTTCTGAGTGTATGTATTGAGCAAGTGTGTGGATCTGAGAGGGCTGTGCAGCACCTGCTCTGCAGGCAGAAAGTTCCAGGTTCAATTCCCAGCTTCTCCAGGTAGACACGAGGAAAAGGTCTGCTTCAGAGTAACTGCCAGTCAGTGCCAACAGTAACTGAACTAGATGGAGCAATGGCTTCTTCTGTTCCTCTGAAACATAATATCCTTCATAGTCACACTTCTCAGCATTTCATGAGGCAGCTCTTCACAGAAAACAACCAAAACGTATCATCTGGCATAAAATACATTTGGAAATGAGTAGCTAGAAGATCTTTTTAGCTAGGAGATCTTTGCACATCTGTCTTTTGGGAGAATACGTATTAAAATATGTACTTAAGTATAAATGTGCATGCACATGCCTTTTGTTGAAAATTAATGCAAAGGGATACTCAGCTCTTATAAAAGATTGACTGAATATACTCAGGCAAAACATTCTCATCCCCAGGACATGCTCTCAGCTTCTTAAAAAAACAGCAAATCGACACTGACAAAGAGTAACGGAGCATGTGCAGAACTGGCGTGGGCCAGAAATGAATTTGTTCTGTTTCCAGTGGGCTAGATCTGAAGCGGCCATTCCTCCAATGGAAGAAGGCGCATCTGGGCTCCCCTGCCCTTTCCGCAGCCCTGAAGATGCGGGTCGTCAAGATTCAGAGAATGTGAGGGAGAACAAGCAGAGGAGAACAAGTGGCATCCTTTGGCTGCCAGAACGACAGTTCTGCATCCAACCCCAAATCGTTCCTCTTAGTCCTAGGTTTTCCCCCCATTGTCATATTGATAAATTCACAGTGAAAACATGATTGATCAGCTTGTAACTTTCTCTTCTTACTAGATTTGCCTGCAGAGACCTGCCTGCCCAGCTGTGGGAGCCCTCCGCAGTCCTCACGGGAAGCCCCGAAGCAGCAGAAGCGCTCGCGGGCTGCCTTCTCCCATACTCAGGTCATCGAACTTGAAAGAAAGTTTAGTCACCAGAAGTACCTGTCTGCCCCTGAGCGAGCACACCTAGCCAAGAACCTGAAGCTCACTGAAACCCAAGTGAAAATCTGGTTCCAGAACCGAAGATATAAGACCAAACGGAAGCAACTAGTCACAGGGCTTGGGGGACTAGATAAGAACTCCACCCTTCCGGTCTTCAAAGAAAATAACTTCTCCAGGGCTACCCTGGCCCTCAGCTACCAGTACAATCCATATTTATACTACCTGAATGGCTGGAGTCCAGTCTTGTGGTAGCTGATGATCCGCTGGCCACTTAGTGTAAGGACGTCAACCGCTGTGGTGGACTAGCTAGCCAGCCCGACTTTGGCTAGAGACGTTTGCCATTCTTTTCCCTTCTCCACCTGCAGGAACCTGAATGGAACTCTGGACCTAAACTCGTTGTACTGTACCAAAAAGGTCGATCCAAGCGGAGTTGGGCTTTCCACAATAAATCCAATAGTACGTGGTCCTTACTACTGTTGCTGCGCACGTACTACTACTGGGATCTGGCCATCTTTCCTTCAAGCCAGCGCTGCAATGGACTTCTCCCCATTGCTCATCAAGGCACGTGTTGTAAACAAACTGCTCCCCTAGCCTGTGAAAGACATTGAACAATGAAAGCCCAGAAGACTCCTGGCCACAGGGGGAGATCGTAACTACAAAGAATGAGCTTAAAGTAGCACCCTCATTTTGAGTTCTTCAGGCCTGGGATGACCATCCTTTCGCCTGGACATGCATCCGAGGTTCTATTTATCTTAAACAGGTCACCCTGCAGCCCAGACAGAAGTTCTGATCCACCTTCAAGACATGATGAGATGGAAGATAAATTGGAAAGGGCCCTGAAGACCCTGCTGCCAAGTCAGAGTAAGCCGTTCTGCCAAAGAGTCTGACCTGGATTAAAGCCGTTCCCGTTCGTGTGTTGTGTCTCTGTATGAGAAGCTGTCCTGGCCTCCGTCTACATGCTGCCGCTTGGAGAGATCATTGCAATGGGAGAGGTTCAGGTTTCTTCCCACTTCCAACGACAAATGTTTCTTCAAGTGTGGCTGGCTGATTCAGGGGTATATGTTGGTTTTTTGATAAGTTGGTTAGTTCGCTGCCATTTCCCTTATCTCGTCAGCCAAGTTCATTGAACTGAAATGTAAGACAGTGGGACAATTTCTACAAATGTGCCTTATTGAGCTGTCGAAGGAAGCATGAGATAAGATGCAGTTGAATAAATGCTATTGTGTATTGTTCAAAGACGAGCCAATGTTTAATACTGTGTGGTTTTATTTCTGGCTACTGTTTCCAGAAGGGTCATCTATCACACCAAAACACCAGAAAGTCACCTTTTGCCTTAAAAACTAACCATTTTATTGGAGCATAAACTTTTGCTCGTTTTATCAGGTGCACATTGTTTTACAGTTATTTATTTATTTATTTAAAACTTTTATATTCTGTCCCTTATGCATAGCATCTCAGGATGGTTTACAATCATTAAAATCAAAATACAATAAAACATTCTGTAACAATATAATGAATAACATATAACCAGTAAAATAAATAAAAAGTGACTGTTAAACATGAAAATACTAATTTTTAAAATAACGGTTGAATAAAAAGGTTTTGACCTGGCACTGAAAAGAGTATAAGTTCAGCACCAGGCAAACCTTTCCGGGGAGCACATTCCATAATCTGGGCACCACCACAGAGAAGGCCCTACTTTGAGAAGATGTCCTTTTTCTTCCTCGGAGGGTTCTCAGAGCAGGTTATGCACCAGTCCAACACATCTGGAGCACCCCAGTATGGGGAAGGGTGTCGTTATTACATTGCACTTATATCCCAGGTTTTTTTTTCTCTTGTGAAGAACCTAAGGCAGCTTACACAGCTCTCTGTTATCCTATGAGGTGGGTTGGGCTGGGAGTCTGACTGGCCCCAAGTCACTTAGGGAGCTTAATGGCTGAGCAGGGACTAGAACCCAGACCTCCCGGGTCCCCAGCTCTGCACTTTAATCACTACACCCTTCAGGTGCTATACAGGACTGCAGTCTAAAATAGGAATAGGCTGACCTCAGACTCACTGATTCGGTGATTCCCCCCGCTCCAAGATCCACCAAACAGAACCAGAAGCACACCTACACTTAAAGGACAGAGGCCACGTATTTATTCCCATTCCAAAACTGAAATGAGCACGGCTCTTTCGCAAAAAAAGTCTGCTCCCACTTCCCTTAAGCATTCTTCATTTCATCAGTCGAGGCATTTTGTTGCTGATATTGCTAAATAGTCAGAAACTCTTGCCCATTCTTTGCAAATCACCCCAAAATCTATTGGTAGGTTCTAAACTGCCTTCTGCCCGTCCTGAGGGAGCAGGGGAAGACTGAGGAGTGTTTATTAGGTGCAAAAAGTGCTAGTATGATGAAGACAATAGACAATAGTGTTCTATCAAAACTGATCAGCAGAAGGTTCCAGGCAGGCCAAAAGGGGTATTACTTTATACCATGCATAGCTAAATTCTCACAAAAGGCAACGTGATGCCCTTTTAATCAAGAGGTGAACCTGCAACAAAATGTTGTATGGCATAAACAAAACTGCCAGTATCACAATGCTGAGGAAAAGAACACTTTCTAAGCACCAAATTAAATCCTGCAGAGAAGCTCTTGGGCTATATTCTAGCCATGGGCGGCGCTGAAGACCAAGGGGCAGAACTACAAAGCCAAAACTACAAGTATGTTTCAGCTCAAGTCTTTTGCATCTATTAGCAGGCCTAGAAGATGCATTTCACTCTTTTAGGGTGAGGGAGGAGCCAGGAAACCACCAAAGGATTGCTGGCTGGGAGAAAAGTCCAAGGCTGCCTACACCAGATTAGAACCTCCAGAAAGACTTGAGCCAGGGTTGGATTTGGCCACTGGGTTTCTGCACCCCTGTTACAATGTCTTTCTACTAATCCATGGTGCTATCACAGTTGGAATACTGTGCGGTTACTGCATGTTAAAGTGCGTCATCTGATTTCTTCCTCATCCAGCCAGCCAGCATTTCATGTGTCCCAAGTAGTTGTGGGGACTCCCCCTTTAGGGTGCATGCAAATTTTTGGCTTTCTCTTCACAAGCAAAAGCACTGATTCTGCCCACCCCCTGAACATCAGATAACACACTGGACTCTCTTTGCACATGAGATTCTTCAAGGGTGCAGCTTAAAGGTACAGCGCAAATGCAACAGCTAAAGACACACTACTTTGGATTTGCTGCTGCATAAATGGACCACAAAAGGTATGTGTTTCAACAACTGTATAAGCTGCCAGAACTAAAGAGAGGCTATGTGTTACATCATCAAGCTCTGGGCACCAGGGACAAAAGACCAGGTAGTTTGTCATTGTCTCTGTGCTTTGCTAAGGAGCAGAGACATCTTGCTGGCTGGCCCCTGCTGGAAACAGAACACTGGGTTAGGTGGGGCTTTCATCTCATTCAGCAGGACAGTTCTGTTCATCTGTAATCAATGCTGGCCTGAGTTTTTGAGGGCCACAAGGGCACAGGAAGAGCCATGCTGGCTCAGACCAAGGGGCCATCTAATCACACAGTGTCGGGTCAGCTGGCCATGGAAGCAGAAAACCTCTTAGGCAAGACATCCCTGCTAGGCCCCCTTCCTTAAAGCCTAGAAGTGCTCATCATTATTTTCTTCTGCTGCTCTTGATCAGCTTCTCCCTCTTTGCCACCACTTGCTTGCCGGACAGGTGAGAGCCAGAGAGTAAGCAAACAGGTATACCTGCCGCAGTTCGCCTTTGGCTGGGCCAAAGCAAGAGGCAGGCAAACAAGCAGGTTGCAAAGGTGGCAGAGACAAGGTACAGCTCCAATGTGCTTTGGTTATTGGGCCCACGGGAATCCTTGGGCAGTACCCAACCATGCCTACCCTGGACATCACTGCCCTTCTCTGAAATGGGCCACCCGAGCCTTCATCCTATGGTGGCACGCCTTGGGTTACGCTCCAACAGTGTTTTAGAACGCTTGCAACACCGATCTGAGCTCAGTCCTGCCCACAGCACGGCCCGGCACTAAGAAAAAGCAGCTTTGTTCAAATGAAGCCTGCAAAAGAATCGTTACTTGGTCTTGAGTGATCCGGAAAGTAGCATATTCTATCTTCCGATAAATTTTCCCCAGCTCTTTTATCTTGGCCTTTACAGCCAATATATGCTCCTCCACTCTTCATCAGCATTAAGAGCAGAAGGTCAGTGCCCACAATGTTTGGACAATGTTTCAAACCAAAGGCTGCGGCTATCCACTTTCTACACTGTGAATGTGTCCAATGGAGCCAAAGATCTTTTTTTCCAGCCTCTCTGCCTTTCATTGAACAAGAAGCTCTTTTAAAATGTAGGGGGAGTGAAAGGACCTACAGCACAAATCTAAAGGGCGGGAAGATTTATTTTCAAGCAACTGTTGCTCCCAGGGCGATTGTTTCAAACTCAATTGGGTTAAAGGGCCAAGCTCTTAGGCACGCTGGAAGAAGTTGTCAGTTCATCCGAGTATGTTCTAATTTATTTAGACTAGTTTTTTTGTTTTTCGCTTTGTTTTGTTTTGTTGTGATTAGATTTATTTTTAAAGACACAAGGTACAAATTAGGAAAGAACGACTTTTTAAAAAAGAATTTCCCGGATGGAGAAAAATTATCAGGTAACCACCACTAAAAAGGCCTTCTCCCCAGTTGCCACTCTTCCTCAGCGGAGGCACCTGGAAGAGGGCCTTAAATAAGGAACATAGTATACAGGTAGGTCCCCGCCAGGAGAGGTTTTGTAGTCTCAGGCTGTGTACGGGTTAAGAGGTGAAAAGTAGCACTCTGGATCAGGCTTGGAAACGTCCAGGCAGCTGGTGCAAGTGGGCCAGAATCAGTGTTACATATTCAGAACTTCTTGTCTGGTAATCAGTGTGCCTGCTGGATTTTGCACAAGATAACACCTGCCCAGCAATCTTTTCACAGAGAACATGCAAATTTCTGGTTACAGCAACTTCATGTGCTGCAGGTCTGTTTCCACACATGATAAGACATGCTGGTTAGGACCTATAAATGACTTTTCCTGGGACATCTTCCCAGTTGGCTGGGAGATACTGGAACATTTTCTGTATCAAGGTCAAACTGGCTGAGGGGCAGGAGAGAGGAAAGGAAGGCAACCAAAAGAGCTTATTGTTTTGATAAGCAAATCAACCCGAAGTGTTAATTAAGGCATAACAATGACAGCAAGGAAGGTGGGAAATGATGAATTTCCACTTCCTCTGGATGAAGGGGTATGAGAAAGCTCAGCCTGGCTACGAAGCCCGGAGAAAGCCTTCACCCACTTGAACGAGTCTTGTTTGTGCGCTACCGGAAAACAGGAGGCATCATCGAATGTCTGTCAGTGAGCGTCACGCTTCACTGCGAACATCTCTTATCAAGATGAAATGGTGTTGAAGGCTGACATAACATTTACACTTGTTCCTGCCAGATCTCTTTATTTTAAGATACAGAAAAGGGAGCTGGTTTTGGGTAAGGTTGGACTGACATTTGCATGCAAGCAACCACATACTTGGCAGGTGGGTCAACCCACGGCAAGTGCCAAGGAGAAGCTGCTTCCTGACCCAAGGAACACCTGCAGAGCAAAGGCTGTGGCAACGGGGGATGCCAGTGGGCTGCCATGGGACCTTGGCCTCCAAGCCGCCACCAGGATCATGGGCTATATGCTCCCAAGAGAGAAAAGACTGCACACTGCAGCAATTCCATGTTTGCCTCCTTAGGGGATATTTAGTGGAAAGACAAAAGGTGGGGAAACTGTTGTTGCTGTTATAATGTGCCATCAAATTGTCACCCACCTGTAGGGATCCTGTGAATGAAAGTCCTCCCAAATGACTTATCCATGTCCGCAGTGTTCCGCTCTTCCAAGTTCAAGGCCACGGCTTCCTTCATGGAGTCCACACATCTCACATCTGGTCCTCCTTGCCTTCTTCTGCCTTCCACTTTCCCTGGCATGATGCTCTCCTCCAGGGAGTTTTGACTTCCAATGATACGCCCAAAGTATGGCAGCCTCAGTTTTGTCATTTCTGCTTCTAGGGAAGGTTCTGGCTTGATTTGTTCTAGGACCCCCTTGTTTATCTTTCTTCAGTCCAGCATATTGAAGAAAGCTCTCCTTCAGCACCATGTTTTGAAGGCATCTATTTTCTTCCTGACAGCCTTCTTCACTGTCCAGCTTTCACACCTGTACATAGTGAGGGGCAAACCTGGGAGATTCCAGTT